TTAATTGCAATCAGTGCTCATTAAAATGGGTTAAGGCTCCCATTTATTTTAATGCCAACATCCAGCAGGGCGAAAATGCACGCACGTTTTAATTTGTATTTTTGTGCGCCGTGCAACGCGAAATTGTTTATAAATTATTGATTAAATGACAATGCGCTGTCAGAATTTGATTTATGGCCTGGGGAGCGGACGACTTCGTTGGAGGCACGCAAGCAAATTGTGTGGGCACAAAAATACATTGAAAATTTGTTAAGCAAACAATAAACAATATACAATAAACAATAAAAGATGGCCGCCACAGCCGACAACGATGACGGCGACGTTCTCCACGATTTATGACAGCAAATTATACGTGAAGGGGGGCTTCACAAGCTTACACAACGACGCCCAACCGAAAAACCCAACACTGGAGCCAGGGCTGGGACGCGGTCTGGAGCTAGAGAATAAACAAAGTCGTCTGTTTTTATTAATTTATCATTGGACAACGGCAGCAGCAGTGGCGACGAAAAAAAAAGTGACATTAAGTCAGTCATCAATCAAAATTACGAAATAAAAAAAAAAAAAATGCTGCAATAAATAAACGATAAAAGGTCCATTTCGTACTTGAAGCTGAACGCCGAGCCGAGCACCGAAAGTTGGTTGATTTTCAATGGCTTTTCAATTAACGATGGGATTCATATCCCCCCTGTTTGGAATGGGAATGATATAAGGAATATCCGGCACCCTTTTTGAGTAAAAGCTAACTGAAATGATTCAGGATGTTTTGTATTTTCCATTTGATGCCATGTCCAAAGTGTGTTTTCATCCTTATGCTCGGATCATATTGTTTTTGACATAATTAGTTAACTAAAATAATTATATCATAACTGAATAATGGTTTTAATAACTGAGTAATAATATTTTGATTTAATTATTTTGATTAGCGTATTGAGATCTTATATAATATTTTGTACTAATTTTGGCCAGGTCATATGTGCTACTGTCTAAGTGCATTTTCCTGCTTGGTTACCTCTGGCAGAGAGAGGAAAGAGGAGAGAAAGAGAAGAGACGGACAGGGTTCAATTGAGCTCAAGCCATTGGGTTAACAGCCCGCAGCACATATCATCGTGCAGGCACAAGAGGTGTAAATACCCCAGATTATGCTAGCTACACATGCTACTGGTTCTGGACAAACAAGGTGCTCAGGCACTTTTAAAATGTACTTTTCTTCATATTTATATTTAATTTTTTTCCAACTAACCCATAGCAAGAAACCAACTGCGCAAATATTTGCCAGGCATTTAGAGCCCAACGGTTATGTTGAGAGCACCATATTCCTATCGCCAGTGTTTACCAAGTGTAACACGCTGTTTGTTTGTTTGTTTTCCAACACTCAAAAGTTGATTGCGTACGCCAGTTGACTGGTTAATTTGATCGTTTCCCGCATGGAACGGTTTCTATTTGACTTTTGAAACATAATACCAGCCTGGCCGAGCAGACAGATTTATAGGCGCTCTCTGCAGATGCAGTTGTTAACCGTAATACCAGTTTTCACTTTTGCACACAAGCCTGGCCTATGGCCAATGGCAGCGGCCCGATCCTGATACTTGTTCAAATAAATGGAAATAAATCTGCACGTCAGGCGATGTCGTCTGGCTTTGATTTACATCATATAATGCGCATTTTTCTCGTGTTAAACAGACTTAATGTCTGTTTATAAGTTCAAGCAGCGAACACCTCACACAACACACAGCACACAACATGCGATGACATCAGGAATTTCAGAGTGGTCTTGCTTGGGTGTCGCGCTATAAAATATATACATACATACATATAAAACAATCTGATTTATAGCATTTTGATAACCTCTTAGCTTCATCTCTCACTCTCTCGGTTTCCCCCCTCTCCATGCTAGGCAGCCAGTGGAGCGGAACAGCTCAGAAGGTTGTGCAAAATGCTGGCAATATTTGCGACGATAATTTATGGTCCGTTCTTATAGTTCAGATTTATAGATGCGTGTTTCTATATACGCCTGCATATGCATGTGCATGATGGGAGGACTTTACCATTTTGTTTGCAAAAGCGTAATTGGAATTGGAAGATTAAATGAGGTGGAAAAAATTACAACGCTTTGTTTACAAAAAGTATATATACTATCTTTGCATTTTGCTACTGGGAATGTAAGCCAGTTGCGCTCTGCCTATGTTTTGGTTGTATATTATTATTCCACTTGGAAAGATTAACCTATATTCTCTGTTTGCTGCATCATGGGAGTTCCCTAGAATTCAAGACATTTTAAAGGCAGCTCTCGAAACTCGGCTAATGTAAACAATTGCACATAAAGAACAGTTGAAGTAAATTAGTTTTCTTACAAGCTTAAGTGGGATACAGCAATATACTTAATATTAATTAAATCATATTTGTTCGTAGATGGGATCCCATTAAAATTAGAGATTTTGTCTTATTTTTTGCTTATCTATAATAGCTTGACAAACAATAAGCCAACACGCGTTTCGCGAGGCAACGAAAAAGCTAGATAAAGAAGAAAGGTATTAAATTTAAGTGTATTTATTTTAATTCTATATATAATCGTGTAATTAACTATTATGTGATATAAACAATACTGTAATATCAACTTTTAAAAGAAATTGTGTGCAAGTAAATAACTACTTTACTGGGCGTATGTAAAGATATCAAGGGAACTGTATCTCATGGTTACGAAATCTATCATAGAAGTAAATTAGACTTAAGTAGTGGATAACGATTTATAACCGGAAATGTCACAATGTATTAAGTGAAATGAGTACGGATTGTTTTGTTTAGCATAAGCCAAATATTTGGTGTATCTATTAACATGTCAGAAAGTTCTTGCCGAGTGAGCTTAAAAATAATTTGCCCAGCTAATTAACACACACACGCGAAAGTTCATTAAAGCACTCAAGCAGGCAGCCGTCCATTCATGCAACAAGGCGACGTCCCACTTGAGATGGTCATGTCAAATTTGAAAAGGAAAATTATTTTGACATACCCGCCGCAGAAGGGGCGGGAGAGAGTAGCGAAGAGGCCAGATACAGTCGACAAGCAAGACGACAACCGCAATGACGTGACTTTGGCAAAGCAAAGCAAATTGTGATAATCAACACGAGGGCAATCCACAAAACGCTATTGCATGGCTGTCAATCAAAGGGGGTTGGCCCACGGTCTACGACGTGAACCATGAACCGTAGTCTCACAGAGCGGCTGCTGCCCGAATCGCTGGGCAATGCGAGCTGACAAATAGTTAGCGCTAAGCGGGGGTTAAATTGGCGTTGATAATGACAGCTGAATAATTTTTATGCGGCGCGACATGGAACATCATCAAAACAATTTCACGCTACACTTCAAGTTAAGAGAACTGCAGAGATACTTCTCTGCTCCGAGATACAGATACGCATACAGATAAAGATACAGATACAAATTTATGGAGCGTGTGTGGGGCTGGCGTCGCATAAATTAAATGTAATGTGACATTTTTACAAAATGCGCTCATTTCTCAACATATCCGGCTGAAAGAAAAACTGAGACAGAAAACAGTAAGCATAAGAAATGGGAAGTAAAGTACCGAAGATTAAATACCCTAGAAAACGGATGGCGGACTTTATAGACCTTGAATTTCCCTAGGAGCTTTTTGATATATTATAAAGGATATCAAGGAATTCTTCAAAACAAAACATTTTCTTTACACAATACAACATTTTTTTTGTGATAAAGTTAGATGATCTACAATATATATTTGAAGCTGAGAGACAGCTGTTCCATCTGATAATTAACATATTTTAATTCTGGGTTCAAAAAATTATTTAACTTGTGCTTGACAAATTTCATCCAAAAAGAATAGTACCCTTTCAGCGTGTAAAAATATATATTAATGAAAAGCAAACGTGAAGAGATGCGACAAAATGAGACGCATAAATTCTCATATATGCCAAGCGAAATATTTCGCCTTAAATTAGCCTCAATTAAATGTTAATGCATTTTGACATTTCTGCTGTCGCCCCCCCCCCCCCCAGTAAATGCCCCTCTCCACGCGTTCCCCTAGCCCAGCCAGATTAAATATACAAAAATAAACATACTTATGAATAAGACGGAGGCCTCTCAGACTACGCGTCGTGGGTTTGTCACATTCACTTCACAAGTCGGCTCGGCATTCATGAAAAATGAATTATGATTTGACGTAGTAAGGCGAGTATCTTTCGGTTGCGCTCTGCGCAGTATCTCATCGGCTGTGCGTGTATCTCTGAAATGCAAAGAGCAATTAGCGTTGATGTAGCCGCAGCAGCTGCATCTTCATTTATCATCTGCTGCTGCCACTTGCTTTGCTTTATATTTCATGGCTGACATTCTGTTGGCAAATATGTATATAAATTACTTAATGGCTTAAATCAACACTCAGCATTGCAGTCCCTGCTTATTGTACTCATCAAATCTGTGAGCGACTTAACTAAACGTCTTGTAAGTCTTGTAGGCTAGCTTGTATCCTCCTTGGTTTTGTAGTTTCATTAAAAGTTGTTGTTGCTGTTTTTCGGGCAATCGCATATCTTAATATGTTCAATTGACTTTGTATATGAAAAATTATTTATGAGAAAAATATATTCAGCATCGGAATATTATTTTAAATAACTTGTACGCGGAATAACATTAAATTTGATGTGTACCAAATTTGTTGTATAATTAAGTAAATATTCATAAAGTAAATAAAATAAAGGGCTTTGGCATGCTGAAGATTGTAAGGTGAACTAAGAAGCTCGTAATTGCTGAGCTCGGTGGCAATATCTCAAAAAACAAGAAACTTGTCCATACAAAAACTCAAACTTTGAATCGGTCGACGAGAGCAATATTCTATAGTTGTCATTGATATGGTATGGTATGATATGGTATGTGAAGTTAAGTTTGTGTGTTTTGAAATGTATTCTATGCAATAAACATACCAAGACAAATTTAACATAATTTATTACATTCATACTGATCTTGTCAGATTCTAAAACATGAATTATCCAATGCAAGCCAAATATTGTTATCATCAAACATAGTCGCGGAGCAACTACCTTTCGCAATATATATGTTCCGCGTCCCCGCATTCAAAGAGGCATAGTTTTGTGCTTTGCTTTGGTTGTTGTCGCTTATCACCAATAAGTCAGCTTACGTCCTGGCTAAAAAGCATTTGATTAGTAATTAATTACCAAAAAGCTAATAGATAGTCTGTATAGCTATTTCAAGGACCTTCCGGCATCATATGCAGCATACTTTTCCAAAACTCAAATGTTATTTAAATGGATAGAACTCGTAGTTGTAGCAAACTTGTCTGATATTATAATTAACAGGCTAAATATAGAGATGGAGAACGAGCACTGAGCAGAACTAAGACTTAAACAAGTTTCGATGGGTTAAATATAATCTATAGCATCATTTTGGTAAACCTCGAAGAAATTTGGAAGAGAACACGCCCTGTGCTTGACACTCCAGACCTTACATCTGCTATTTGCATCTGTGTGTCAATTTACCTGCAACGAGCAGCAGAAGAAGAATAATTTTCAAAAAAAATTTGCGTAGTCCCCCTTTCCCTGCGCTCACCTTGTGGTTGTCCTTTTTGCCGTTTGCCCATTTGGGCCGTCGCGTCGAGCAGCCGTTCGGCCGTTCAACCATTCGGCCGCATGTCATCGTTAGTGTCTGCTTTCGGCAGGGATTTGTAATATTATGCTGTCAAGTCAAACATGCCCACTGACAGTTACCAACTGTCTGACGGGCGGACGCTTGACTTGAGTATGTAAGCCGACGTCGGGTTACAGCCCTCTTCTGCAATCGCAATCGCCATAGGAACGACAATGCCTGGGGAAAGGGTATGGGTATGGTATGGGTAAGGGCATGGAAATGGGAATGGGAATGGGAATGGGAATGGGAATGGGAATAGGAATCGGAGAGTGGCATTCGGGGATGTGCGGGCTGGCAATTACACTTTTGACGCCAGGCCAACGTGTGCAGGCAGGGGCGTCACCAGTGTCCTCGTGGTCCTTGACTGTCGGCCGACGGTGTCGCAATTGGCGTCGCTGTAGGTTTCGGTTTGATCCTAACAAATAATGACATGGCAATTTGCGGATTTCACAGCATGTCCAAAGCTCTGGATACACGTAAATAGTCGCATATTCCACTCGAACATTGCCAGTCAAGTCGAGTTAACAAAGTCAATTCAAAGCGCCGCTACAAGTTTGTTTAGTTCTCGCTCGCCTTGGGATCGGCAACGGCCACTGAAACTGGAACTGGAACTGCCCTGCTATCAGTGTCAATTCAAGGTGGTTGCAGCTGATCCCCCGCCGAGGACCGCCTGCCAATGTCAGTTAGTTGAAAGTCCTGGCCTAGTCCCCGCTGCTTGTCAGCCCGTGTCTGTCTGCCCGCTGCGTTTCGTGTGCGCCCCACAGAAATTCAATTGCGAGCATGGGTTAAAAGCTTGCCAAACTGACAGCAGCTCGACCCGAATCCGCACCCGGACAGGGTCTTGCCTGCCCACTGTTGGTTGCGTTTGGGTGAAGACCTCCTACGTGTCCGCTGTCAAATTTTCCTGTCTCTGCACAGGCCCGTATTCCAGACCCTCGGTGTTTCTGTTTCTGTGGTATTGCTTAAATTTGAGTAAAGCCTGGCATTCTTTCTTTCTTCCTTTCCGACATGTGCAGCTGTCATGTGATTAAGTCATTAACTTGCAGATTGAAGATTTTACATTTATTTTCGTTATTATTTATTGCTTTTTGGCTCTTTCGCTGTCTTTCTATATATATCATGTATATCTTAACGACGTGATGTTACAGCCCCTCACATTCGGCTACAAGTTATCTATTAGTAAAACATTTCACCCCTTACAAATGGAGAGAAGAGTAATCTCTAAATATAAAATTGGTTCTTCTCAACGCACAGGCTAGCGCGTAAGAGCTAGGCACCTATCTGATGAAGGTGCACGCTAAGACAGGTTTTAACGCATTACCAATCAGACAGTCTGTCAGGGCAAGCATTTTAGTGTACAAAGATGGAGGCGAAACTACCGAATACCAAATGGATATACCCAAAATGCCTACAACAAATGCGCAAAATCATATCAGTATCCCGTTCGCCAAAATTATAGGAAACTCATTATATCCTGAACTCATTGAAAATGTGTAAAAGGGGTATAATGTATTTGTGCAAAAAAGCATCTTCAAACTCTTCTCTCGATCAGCATCAATAGTCAAGCTAGCCATGTCCGTCTGCCTGTTCGTTCGTCCGTCCGTATGTTTGAATGCCAGGATCTTCATGTTTTTTGTTAGTCGCTTTCGCCTTAAACAAAAGTATTGCAATCGTAATGGGTTACTTAAGCTAAATAGAATAGAGTAGAAATAACTTATTGGACAGGTCCTATTCCATGTAGGTATTTACTTGACTTTGGCACATCCATCGACATTTTTATTTGTTCCATCTATTGCGTTTATCGAAATTGAGTAGCAGCTGTTTTAGCCCAGCTGCCAGCTCACATTAGATGTTTGCCAGGCCATAAAAATGCATTAAGATTAGGCATTTGATGACTGTCACCTGTTGCATTGTTTGTGGAGCTTACAATCAATTAACTTGTATGGAAATCACATAAATTGATGTAACATTAAACGAGTGGCAGCTGTGCCGTCTTCAGGTTGGAACTGGCCATGGTCAACATTTCTCAAATTTTACGAGCCGCTCTTCAAATTGATAGAAACATTAACTAAGCTTCAGAGTCTGGCTTGGCGCGCAGAAACCAGTTTTCCAAAGAGTTTTGCCGACCGCTGATTGCTCCGTCCCCTGGTCCGGGATTTCAACAGATTCGCGACCAAACCGCCGTCATGTCTGTAAATTTATGGCACTTCCTTTTGCCCATAATTTTCAAATTAAGTGTTGCTTCATTTAAATTAATACATTTTCTGCAACGTTTAGAACACATTTTCACTTACCCATTATACTTCGGAATTTGTCAGATATTTTAGTGCGTTTTTTTTAATACTCTTTCTAAATGAATATTGATAAAATTAGGTGTATTTGTATTTGCTCGATCATCTATTAATCCGTTCCTCGGTCCGTCTATTCATGTTTTATTAACTTCAGATCTGGCCTTTTTGACTATATCTCACAGTTTATAAAAGCGTCCATCTGTGGTCGATGGTCGTATATTATGAGCAGAACTTTTTTATAGTCAAAAGTAATGTTTCTGTTTGGGAATTGATTTTTGTATTATTTTCAATGAATCAATTCGTTGATTTTTTTCAACTTTATCTTGGTTTCTGTTACTTTTGTTAATTGCGTTTGCCTCTTTTTTGGCAAGCAAGTTTTTGAAGCTGCTGCCTATCTCCTCCTTTCCGCCTGACAGCCACTTCCTGCCTGTGCTGCTCATCCGTCAGCCAGGACAGCGTCTGCCACTCCTGCTGATCTGCGTTCCCCTTGTCCACTTCTTGTGCCTGGCTAGCTGCCTATCGATTCGCTGCTCGTCTCTTCGCTGACGGCTCATTAGCATGTGTGCATAGTCCTCTGCATGAGTTTGCCTGTGAGTTGTCTGCGGGAGTGAGAGTCCCCTTTTCTCCCTTTTAGCCTGTCAGCCGCTCTGCCATTAATTCTGCCAGCCATGGAGCTATAGAGCCTCGCCTCGAGCTCAAAAACTAACCTAACCTGCAGTGTAATGCGTTGTATTGTTCACGCAAAATTTATTTCCGCTGCGTCATGAACATCCTGCTGTCGTCGCTGATGTGCGGGTATGTTGCAGTTGTTGTTGCTGCTGTTGCTGTTGCTGTTGCTGCTGTGGCTGTTGTTAATTTACGTAATAAATACGCTTGAAAATTTTGCACGCACATGCAAAATGAATTACGTCGCCTGACGTTGGCGCAACAGCACCAACAACAACAACAACAACAACGATAGCAACAGCAACAACAACGACAGCAACTTAACTGTCACTTGTCACAGGAACGTTTCGTGGGGGCCCTTGGCAGCATGTCCTGGCAGAGCCGGCGACGGCGACGGCGACGTCCTCGTCGTCTCTCACATGTCAACGCGCGTCGCTTTGCTTGGCATTTTTGTGATGTGAAATGAAGCAACGAGGTGACAGCCAAGGGGAGTTGCTGCCGCTGCTGCTGCTGCTGCTGCTGTTGTTGTTGTTGCTGGTTGCAGCAGCAAACGGCAGCAACACAAATGAATTACTCGCGTGAACAACAAAAACTGTCAGAGGGCTGTCAGCTATGCTGGCGCAGGGGGCGTATTGCTGCCTTAATGCTGTTGTTGTCATTGTTGCATGTGCCTGCCTCTCTCTCTCTCTCTCTCTCTCCCTGTGTTTGAGGTGTCAGCGCATCTCATTTGAAATGCTCACACAGAAAACAGTTAACAACCAACAGTCAGTCAGTTGTACATCAACAACAATAACAACAACAACGATGACTGCCACACGCTGGCAACATGGGTCTGCAGCCAGCTGCAACATGTTGCCAGCTCTTGTGGCACCTTCCTGAAGTGATTATCTTACCTAAATTGCTTGTAGCAATCCACAAAATTTGATGTCTACGCGTCTTACGGCGTTGCGGCTGCTGCTGCTGCTGCTGTCGGTGCGTTTTTTGCGCTGCTGTCGCAATTTTCATTTTCGCACTCCATTATAAAGTAATTTTTTTGCATTACTTATGCCTGTCAACGTCTGCTTTGACTGCTTTTCCTGTTTCCGCAGCAACGCCTCGTCCTGGCCCCGGCCGCGTATCCTTCTTGTTGGCAAAGATTAATATGTTGCCGCTCTGCCATTTCCTGGCCACACTTTGTTTGTTCGCCCCAGCCCAAGCTCCATTCGCCGCCCCAGCACAAGCTTAAAACTCCGGCTGAGCTCCGGCGTGTGTGACAGTTTGCAAATGTGATTGACAACTGACACTTCCATATAAATTCAAAGCTTTCACACACAGCAAGCAACGCGTTGACAGTCTACACAACACATTGCAACTGAAGCACAGGCCGCCTCTGAGGCATGACAAGCTAGCAAAACGACTGAATGACTGAGTGACTGACGGCCTGACGGCCTGACTGATGGGCGGTACGACTCCGACTGACGACGGCTGATGGACAGCCTGCCAGCAGTTGGGCGTGTTGGGCCATCAGGCAAGCTGGCAAGCAGCTCAGCTGGAAACAAGAATGGGTTCCAATTACAGCAGCCAACTCCTAATAGAGATGTGTAATGGGCGATCAACCGCGAAGTATATTATGCCCGAAATTAAAATAGGTAAAAGTTCGCTATTCGATGGTGCTTGGTATTTATTTATTTATTGCAACAATTAAATGCTAAAAGCCTAACTAAAATACACAATTTTCTAATAGCATCACCGACCAATGGGGATGCTCTATTTGCCCCTCCGGCCACCTATGCCCCTTTTAACAGATAATTTTGTCAGCGATTTTATTAGAGACTAAGGCTTAAATGATGTGTGTTAGTAGAGAATATATGTAATGTTCTCAAGGAAACATTAAAATTAATCCTAATTTTATATTATTTATGAAAATACAATAAATAGGAAAAGAAAGAAAGAAAGAAATGATTAATAAAGTAAGGAAATTTATACTTGATTTATAGAGTGTTAAGTAGAGAGGATAAATAGATAGTAATGGGAAATCATCGAACCGGTGGGGGAAAATTTATAGCCTGTCCGGCAAGCTATGCCCCTACTCATAGCTGGGAATTGTCAACGAATAGCAACGATTTTATTAGATGTAGAGAAAGTTCGGTGGATAAACCGTGATGCAAACTATTGTAATATTAGCATAACACGCGAAAAGAATCTGTTGTGCAGGTTGGTAGGAATAAGTGGCAATAATTCCTGGTAGGTCTAGGTGAAACAGAGATTTGAAGACGCCCAACTTATTATTGTCCTTTGGTTGGTTAACGACGGAAGATCAAGCAGAAGAAGTCTGATGTAGTAGGATGGCAACAGCAGAAATTATATATACAACAGCTCGATATTTATATAAGAACAGTAACACAAATCCTATCTTTTTTGGTCAGGTAAAGATTATCCGGAAAGTGTGAAGCTTGTCAAAAATGTTCTTTGAAATGAGTGTGAGCCTGTTGCAGACACCTTTCCAGACTTACAGGCGGAACTTTTTAAATCATGTCTCAAAAAAACATATATACAGATTGAAAATAAAAATAACGATACATTTAAAAATAAATACTTATTGGCATATGTAAAGGTAATAAAAGGTAAAGACATAAAATGGAATATTTAGACACTCGAACAATATTCTTTTATTTTTCATTTTCCACAAAGCTCAATATGAAATTCGAACACTTCCTTTTTGGTAGATATGTATTTTTGAATATTATTATTTTTATTTTTTTTATTATTTGGAATTATATTCATATAATTTTAAGAATGAGTGTAGAAGAAGCTAAGCTAAGCTAAGTCGATTGTTCAACTCATTTTCCGGCATGTTTGCCTAGCTATTTCCTGTGCCTTTCAATTATTCCCCCATTTGAGATTTATACAATATTCCAATTACCATGACTACTTCCTCTGTTAAGGCTTAGACCTTAAAACCCAAACCCAAATGAAGGGCTAATTGCTATTTAGGGTTTCGCTCTCACTGAGTTGGAGCAATGTCCCATTATTCAAACATCAGCCTTAACTGCTGACACGGCCAGGTGGGTAATAGACTCATCATGCATCGAGCACCTAGCACCGGGCAGCACCATCATTATCATCATCATGGTCGTCAGAGGCACAGCAGGTAGCTGGCACCAAATGGCAAGTGGGAGCCCATTCGGTGGAACCTGTCGCTCGTGCTGACGACAAATGTCTCGGGCAGCAAACGGAAGTGACATGACAGAAATCTCTGACAGCCTCTGAAAAAACTTGATTATAAATGTTCAAGCCGTGCAGAAAATAAAACTAATAAATTGATGTTGATCAGATGCTGCTACCGACCCGACGGCAATGACAATGACAAAATCAGCCGAGCTGACAATGATGAAAGTGACAAAGACAATGGCGCTGAATGACAGCCAGGCAACTAGCTGGGTAGGATGGAGATATGAGCAGACACAGCGATAGGGCTATGGCCAGGGAAATTGGTGCTGGTATTGGAAATGCAATTGGGAAGCCAACAGCCAGCTGCTAACCCAACGCCCTCGGCATGACCTGTCAACCGGGCATCATCAGCACTTTGACTGGAATGGTGAAGATGTGGCTGGTCCTTGTTTATCGAAACTGCAATAAGCGATTCACTACAAAATGCAATAATTATCAGTTGCTTACTTAGTATTAATACTTTGTTTGAATAGTTTCTTTGCTTAAGAATTCCATCGTTTGATTAGGTTCTTGTAATTAAATATCCAAATAGTTCTCCTATTGTTTTATTTTGTTTCTTAGTTGAACCTCATTGTGCTATCATTGTATGACCTCCGTAGTCCATCAACCAGACAGTCAGTCAATCAGTCATTCACTCATTGCGACTGTTGTCACTCACTCAGTCTCGAGTTGCATGTGGCAGGCTCCGTGTTGCACGTTTCATGCTACGCTACAATGACAACAAGCTGATATTTGCCTGACATTTCAGATTGATTGTCATCCATCAAGAGAGCTGCCTCCTCGCAACCTTCGCTCTCATCCACAGCCTCGTCCATCGTCGGTCTGTCTGCGTGAGTGATTGAAGGGCAGGGATGCGCTGCTTGCATTTCGAATTTACATGCCCCTCTTACTCCCCAGGAGGGCACTTCAAAGCATTTGGGCATTGGCCTGAATTTATATTCAATTACAAAGCTGCCTCAGCCAGTTCCTCTTCATCTTGAGGTGACCACAGAAGTCGTTGGTCTGCTGACCAGCTTGTGAGTTACTCCACAGCAGCTGTCTTGGCATAATAAACAAAGTGATTGCCTGACTTGAGATCATATTTGGGCTTGACATGTGCTGACCAGACAGCCGCAGAAGCTCAGCGCAGCTGAGAGTGAAAACATTTATGGCACAATCCTTCCTGCAATATATAGATACCTTTGAAATACCTTTATGTTCACTCAGATATGCCTACTCCATGCTAGAAATGGAAATAGCCCGGCCAAGACCAAATAAATATTTCTCAGGTGCCGCCAACATGCGTTGACATTCACAGATCGACCAAGTAGCGCATAAAGAAATTGAATTCATTAAACATTAGCTTCCTGACACGATTGCCGGGAGAACTCGGTCAGTAGAGGCCTTTAAACATTTAGTGTCGCAATATGCAAATACATAAATTTTGTGGCCAGATCCGAGCGCAGTTGCCAGTTGCCAGTCGCCAGTCTCCTGCCTCCAGACACCAGGCACCAGTTGCCAGTTACCAGTCGCCGTGTCGGGGAACAGAAGACATACACACGCGATAAAGAAATTCGATTAGGCATCAATTTTAAATGAGACGCATTTCCCTCCTGGAGCTGCCAGAGCTGCCAGAGCTGCCAGAGCTGCCAGAGCTGCCGGGCCGCCTGCTGCGGATGCCACGTAACCTGATATGGTGACACTCGTCGACAAAGTCGACATCGTTGCTGTTGCCGCGGCTGCAATCTAATTTATGACTTAATTATCGGGCCATATTTAATGTGTCCAATAAACTAGTCTACAAAATTATACCAACACATCGTTGTTTAGGCTTGTTGCCAGTCCGTTCCCCTCCTCCTCCTCCTCCTCCTCCTCCTCCTCCCCCCCCCCCCCCCCCCCCCCCCCCCACCACTCCACCAGATCAAATACTTGTGGCTTGTTAGGCATTTGCTTTATGCGTGGACGGGTAGAACTTGAATTCGCCACTCGGCGGCGGCGTTTCGATGGTGGCCTCCTTTAGTTTTGCGGCCATCAATTTGCTTTTAAATGCAACAATTTGGTTTCCATTGCGCCGGATCCACAGACGCATTTGCAGTCCCTCCCCGCCATCGCCCTCTCCTCGTTCTCCATGGTCCGCCGTCTGCAGTCTGCAGTGTGCAGTCCACGTCATCGTCACCGCATGCAGTCAACGTTTTTGGGTTGGTCCCCGACTTGCAGAGTCTTTGCCTCCAACTCCGGTGCCTGAGCAATAAAAATTTCGTGAAGTGGCAATAAAATTCCATTTAAAATGGCAGCGATTATGTCTCAACAGACCATTAAAGTCACTCAAATGACAACTACTACTTAGGCACACTCACACACTCTCCGACCGACGCACGGCCGCCTTTTTTTCTTTTTTTTTTTTGGTTTTTCTTTATTTTTTAGATCGTCGATCGCGACATCTGTCGGTGCCGATCTCCGCACAGTGGGGCTTATTAAACGGCTCAAGTTTATGATCATGGGGCGAATGGCCGGAGATTCACTTTGAAGCATTGAGTCGCAGAGAGTAACAAGTGCAATTGCCTTGTCGCTAGTGCCAATTACTTACATATTATTATTCAACTCCATTTGCTTACGCTTCTCAATTTGGATAATATTGCCCTGCAAGGAAGGTTTCGTTCTCGTCTGATCGCATTCGAACTTGT